AAATGATTTTTTTTAAAAGAACGCCGAAATGTTTTGAATTTACCTAAGAATATTTTTCATAATCATTTCCATCTGAATAAAATTCCCGTATAAATTTTAACATCGGCGTCTATAAGTATGGTATTCCACACCTCAAAACTCGGGCCATATTTCCTTAAATGAATTTAACAAATAAATAATAAAAAAGAAAAATATAGAGTATAGATAATCTAACGAAAAAGTGTAAAAAGAAATGACATAAAACAAAAATCAGAAATAAATGCTAGCAAACAAAAGAGGAATGACTCCAATGTAAAGAGATCTGAAACAAAAAGTTAAAACCATAAAACATCTCCAGGCATAATAGTAAATAAAGGAAAAAAGATAACCGGTTTCTCATTTCCCCATACTATTCGTAACACTTCAGTGGCATATATACAGAGCCCGCACGAAAAAAAATTCGTTATACATGGTCTGATGATCACATAAGCCGTGAAACCCCGTCGCCATAAAATGCTAATTTTTATATTCGCAACACACAATATAATAGATCATTGCAAAAACACTTGCCCGACTAGAATATTAAAAACATTTATTAGTCAAGTATATAGTATCCCCGGTTTTAATAACGGTCTCCCATTATTCTACAAGCTTGTCCATGTCATTTTCATAGACACTTCGTGTTTTTGTAGGAAAAAAAAGATTGTAGGTAGTTTTCGATTGACATAACAGATTCAAAGTTTTTATTATTGAAATTATTCTATAGAGACCGGAATAAACGAAAACTCGGAGCCAAATCAGGAGAATGCTGTAAGTGCTGGAGGATTTCCCATTTCAACTGCAAAATTTTACAAGGCTTGTTTTGCAACATGCGGTCCTGTCATGGTGGAAAATGACATCTTTTCGATTTGCAAAAATCGGCCGTTTCTGTTGAAGAGCCGTATTGAGATTGGCAAGCTGGTCGCAATATTGCTTTGTAGTTATTGCTTCGCCCGCTGGAAGAAGCTCAAAATGAATGATCCCTCTACAATCCTACCAAACGGACAGCAACACCTTCATTGGATGTAAGACCACTTTAGCCATGTGTTCTTCACTTTCACAAGCCTTTTCCCAGCTTTGTCGATCCATTATCCATCTCCTGTGAAAATTCTATCCAACAATGTTCCCTTTCGTGGTGTCAAATAATAGTTTAGCAGACTATTTTTGGAGAAGTGTATTTCTTTTCTGACTTCCTCAGTTTGACCTTTGAGGTCAGATGCAAGACAAAATAAAGGAAGTCGATGTTGATTGGCTGAACTAGCGTCGGAATGATAGAGGTGTTCTGTTTTTGCGTCTTGATCATCTCCCTAGTGGGGAGAGAGCAACCTCACTGGATAGGTAGAAATGTATACATCGAACACACCAGACATCAACACCAAAACAAACACCAGTTTAAAGTTGCCATCCTTTTATGTTGTGAGGACATTATTATTATTATTATTATAAATAAAAATAAAATAATAATAATGAAAATTATAAATAAAAATCCAATAATATTTAAATTGTTTAAAACAAAATAAAATAAAATTAATAAGACACTCCCAGCATGCAACAAAAAAATGTTCCTGTCGAAAATACGGACATCCCATCAAAAGACGTCAAATTCAAACTTCACTACCCTTATAGTAATTGTAACCTAAAAATACATACATCAGTACACACAAAAATATAACTAACTTGTATTTATTATAAACACGCCTCTGGTGTGTGTAATTTTCTCATAGTTTTGACAATTTTTGTACCAAAAACTAAAACTGCAAACAAATCCAAATCAAGCAAAGATGTTTATCTAGAAATTGTTCCTATTAACTTTAGATTGATTAGTTAAATATGGTTTTTCAGAAAACAATTACATTTTTTTTCTTTAGGGAGAAATAGAAACTAATGAACATTCTCACTGTAATGCGAGATACGGGAACATGGCCGGCCTAAGCTGATTGTTTCTGCTTATATTCAAGTCTTTCTATTCAGCCGGATTGTCTTCTCAAAGTGCAACTGTAAAAGCTATTTTCACAATAAGTACCACACACAAACACAAAATAAAAAGTGTAAAAAGATACTAACATCTAATATAAAAAAAAGCAGGTGCTTGTGTGTGTTCGTACATTAGATGAAGCGGGCAACAGTGAGAAGGAGAAAGAAAGAACGGAATGCGAACGAAAGACTGTTTTTGCAATGAAGTCCTGCTAAATATATTTATGTAATAAAATACATCTGTGAAATGGAAATACTATCAGTTTCTGGCTGGCAGAGAAGAATTTTCAATCCATTCATATACCAAACACTCCTAACGTTTGGCACAATTTTTGGTTCAACGTCAAACAGTTCACTTGTTAAAACAAAAGAGCATTTAATAAAATCTTTAAAATTATGTAATTAAAAGTTGTAAGCCAATTTTCAATCTGCCGTCACGTCAAATACAGAAAATGGGCAGAAGACATATTGAGAATTGCAGAAAATTGTTGGATTAAATGATTACCCCTAAAAACGAAAACAAGAAAAAAAATAAATAAATAAAAATAAAAACCCCAACAAAACCAGTTGTCTGCAGTCTGCATTTTATTTCATAGTTACATAAAAGCCAATTTATTAAATCTTTAAAAAAACGGACATTTTAAATGTATGTATAAATATATAAAAAAGTGATAAAAGCAAAGATTAAAAAAACAAAAAAACAACAACAACAAAAAAACGTAAAAGTGGTGGGGATTAAAAAGGGGTGGAAGCTAATCGATTATTCATCCTCGTTCTTCCGAGCTAATCAAAGACGAAAATGTGTAATTCAAAGTGGGTGGCGGTAAAAATAAATTACTACCATGGAATCAGTAGTGTAAAGTACAAAGAAATTGCATACAGATCCAACCGCCATTCTGCATATAGATAAGAAGGCTGATTGGGCTTAATATAAATGGTATCAAGAATTGTCAGATGGCAATCTAAATGCACTTTGCTTATTTTGGGGAAAAATCAACGAGGAACTGGTCTGATTATTAGGTGTTCTGCAATTGCAGAACCAGAACTATTGACAAGCATATGCAAATTTTAACACTACACTTGACGGTACTGCTCAGTACACGTCTTCAACCTTTGGTTGGTTCTGTAAATATATTCAGCATCATACTGGCATATGTAATTATAGACAACTGACCTACCATGATGAAGCGCGAGGGTAGTACATCTTTGTTAGTGGATTTCAGCATCGGTCTGAGTGAATATAGGCCGTGGATTGTTAGAAAAAAAATAGCAAAGCTGCGCATTTTTTATTGATTTGCCTGGCAAATCAAATGCTAACCCCACCAATCCAAGATATACAAAATAGAATAGGGCCATTTTTTTAACCTTACAATTTGAATTTATCCCAAACACCAAAAATTGATTTTGATTAAAACTTTAGTTCATTGGGTCATAATTATCTATTTCAAAAGCAATTTAAATTTAGAAATAAAGGTTATTACTAAGGCTGTGCTGGAAAATTCGAAAACGCTGATTTTGTGCAATCTAAAATTCGGGGCTAAAATTGCACAGTTTAACAAGTTGTATAGTCCAAAATAAAGTGCCCCGTCTATTTTCGGTTACTGTGGATTGGAGATTTTAACACGAGAGTTCCCATTGAAATCACTCAATATCTACAGCAATATGGACGCACAATATTCTAAACTAAATATCAATTTAAGTTGAGACATTTTCCGTTCGTCTTACACGAATTCCCCTGGAGGGAAAAAAAAAAAAAAAAAAAAAAAAGAAAACCAGTAATCCTCTTATCCCCATCCCCAGATCCCAATTATGACAAGAAGCATACGAAAGTTGAGGCTGTTGAGTTCTGTAAAAGCATTCCATGGGATGGGGGGGGGGTGGCATCAAAATACCGTCCTGGTCTCGTAATAAAAAAAAATTGCTATAATGATTGGGTGTGAATGGATCGTAGACTAAAAAGCATTGCGTCGTGTGATTTTGTTTGACGTATTTGCGAGTAATGAAGATGGTAATAATTTTACCAAAATTCGGCACGAGATAAGGAAACCATATTGCATCAGTAATTCACGTGGGAAAATGCTGTCTGATTTAGGAATCAGTATCTGAAATCTAGTTAAGCAAAGTATTAAAAAACGGGAACATTTAATTCGCAATAAAGGAAAAAAAAGTACTCAGCTGCTATGTAATAAAAACCCTCCTATATGGCAATGGCTGCTGGACAATCTCCTTACATATGAAAAAAAAGCTTGAGGTAATAGTAATTTGGTTCTATAGAAGGATGCCGAGAATATCATCTACTGAATATGAGAGTAATGAGTTTTCGGAGAAAAATGGAACAAAAAGGTCATTTAGAATCAGAAAGCGACAACTGAAATA